TAGTGGTTAAAGCTTCAACTATGAAGCAAGTAGCATTAGTCAAATTGCCCTCCCGGGTGCCATACGGTTTTCATGGCACATTTGTTACTTCAGAAGATTTAACCAAGCAAAAATCTTGTTGATAATAACTTTTTAGTTGTACACAATGTAGATGCTTATCTTTGGATCACTAAAATATATATAGATGTTTCTCTAACAAACATTCCGTTTGGATTGGCTGTTTTTGTCGATTAGTGAATTGATAACCGATAGAATGTTTTGGATTTAAGACCTCCCACTTAAAAAAAAAAACTGTATATTAGTAGTGAGTAAAGCATGAAAAAGAAACCGAAAGAACAGTATACTAGTAGTGAGTAAAGCATGAAAAAGAAACCGAAAGAAAGTTTTAGATTCAAAACCTCTCACTTAAAGAAAAACAAACAGTATATTAGCAGTGAGTAAAACATGAAAAAGCCAGAGATTCTTGTTCTTATACAAAGTCCGTTATAGATTTGGACCGGTAAAAGGAACTGTTATTGCTTTGCCTCGATCACCCCGTGTAACTTTATGTCACTTACTAGAAGTAAAGATCAAGAGGGGGATGGCAGATAGGAGTATTATTAACATTGAGATTAGACTGCATCAAATGACCTATGGTGGTAATTGCATAAAATAAGGAATACAAAGGGCTATGATAGGACCATTTGAGTTAATCTATGTTAGTCCTTTCCCAATTAAGTCCCATGCATGGCAAAAGTAAATTTGCTTGAGCATGAAACTACAATTTTTAGCTCCAAACAAATCCCACCTATATTGTACATACGGTTACCAATACCATTTATTTGGTATCCAGCACTGAAAGTACTCTCAGTGCTGCAACGTTGGATGAGGATAACCAATCTTTGCATCTTTTTCTGTTTCTCTTTCTCTTGGTGGCTTAAAAAGATAGAGAGGTTGGTGTGTAGCTTGGGAGGGTCTTTTCATGGACATTGATCTTTTTAGAGATAATGACCTTTACATTTCCACATTGTCGGTGGTAAGAAAAGGCAAGCTCAAAAGAATACTTGGCTACAAGTCAAAGCTTTTCATCCCATAATGCAGGGATATAATGATAGTGCTTCAGCACAAAATAGCATCTTAAACTGCTTTTTATGTCATGCAATTAAAGCCATAAGTATACGTGTTTAGTGCTAAATGAATGGATGTTTTGAAATTGGTTCCTTCATGATTATTTTCTTGAAGTTGAACCAACTATTTCAAACACATAGTGCATCTAGTTGGTCAATTGAACATACGACATCACAAGGTCAGACAGCAAAACATCTGCTTCTTGTCTGTTTGATCATGTATTTATCATGCTTTACGGGTTTAGGCTAAGCTTTCTGAGCATTGATATTCATCAAGTGAGAAATATATTTCATTAAGATGATCGAATGGGGTGCAAAAACAAAAACAAAAAAAAAAAAAACAATTCAAGTGGTGAGGAGGAAAAGAAAAAGTAGGACAGAAAAGTTGGGATAATTTTATGGTACTCTTTGGAAACAAAGGAGTACTCTAGATCATATCAGATAGGCAACTTTATTTCGTTGCACCCAGTTTTCGCATTTCCATTGGATGAAACAATATTTGACACCAGGAGGGAACAACAGAAGCACGAGTAACTATTGTCGTGTAGTATATTCCATTAGAAGGATCAATGACAATTTTACTGTGATGCAAAAGTTAGATTCTCCATTGCTAGATATTTGAGAGATAAAATGTCCAATCCTTTTTCTTTTCTTTGGAAGGAATAAAATGTCCAATCACTATCATCTGATCTTGTGCTGATGTCCAATCCTGTAGTTCTTGTAACTGTTCCATGTAACACATGTAACAAATTTATGGTCCAATCTTGTAGTCACATCCAATTCTATGGTGCTTTAAAAAATGTGATCACTCATCAGACTTGCATTATTTTCCCCTTTGGAAGGCACTAAGACAACGTTGCAACAATGCTAGAGTTCGATTCCCTGTTGCTAGATACCCAAGGTCTTAAATTTTGCCAAAAGAACAGCATAATAACTGCAATTTTTATGCATTAAGTTATGCATTTTGTCACCTCATGTTCTGCTGCATTAGCGGAATAGCCAAGTTCAGAGCAGCAGGAGGGTTGCTGCAACAACTTAGGAGTGTACGACCATAGCAGAAAACATGAACCAAATCTCACCTTTTTCTTGATTTAGTGCTAAGAAAGAGAAAAGATATGAATATTCCAATTTTCTTGTGTTTGGGTTGGAGAAGAAATTTGATTTAAGTGGGCTCCTTCCTTATTTGTGTTTCAGACTAGAACTTAGTGATAATTATCATCATCTTTTCTCTTTCCCTGGATCTTTTTAGTTTCAAATTGGCCTACATGTCCAAGGCAATTAGAGAGATGACTTTGTTTAAGTTGACCTCTAGCCGTAAAGTGTCAATGTCTAATCAATCTACTTAGTGATGTGCTATAAGACTAGATAGACTAGATATGGTCTCTTTTTTCCTGTTACTGCTGGGATATGGTCGAATTAACAAAAATTAATCTGAAGTTGATTAAAGGGATGCAGTATTTAAACATTTTCTTAAAGGTTATTATATTACATTTATTGGAGTTGATTAAGAAAAGAATAATGAACACCATCCTAGAGGAATATGGCAAAGCAATGATGTAACATTTTGGTAATAAACATCCAACCAGGCACAAGTTCACTAAACAGTTGAAGCCATTTTAGTGTACAGGAGTGTTTCAAGGAAATGAGTTTTAGTCAATTTGGAGGTTGATATGATATGATAGGTCCCTTGCACTGACAAATAAGAAACAAATATAGTGAGTTGCTATTCAGTTTTCAGGAAGATATGGGACACTTTATGCAGGATGCTGGGGTGGGGTGGGAGGTGGACCAGCCCCATGTGAATTGCAAGAGAACAACGAGAGAACAAGCATCCAGAACAAATGACCTAACAATCAAATGCAGCAAAGTGAAGAAATTAAGAAACTTTCCACCACAAAGAAAATCTCTTTCTGCTAACCTACTCAATTTTGCTCCGATATCTTTACTCAAGTGTAATCTTGTGCCAGAAGATGAAACAAAGAATCAGAACTGAAACATCAAAGGGTGGGAGGCTACTTCCCCATGAGTTCCAAAGATACCAATTTATGGGTGAAGTTTATAAAACATAGATGTCAAACAGCTTTACTTCAGAGGAATATTTATCATGATAAATTTTGGTGGTTTGAAGTAATTGTTATCAAGAAGTCAAATGAAAGTACTAAACTATCAGCAGCTTAGACAGTCAGAAATGGCATGGTTAAGGGTCTTTGTTCCTCCCCTTAGAACTACAGTGTGATCTTGATCATCCCTATTCCCTTATTCCACTATGCACTGTATGTAAAAACATCAATATGACGGATACACATTGGAAAAGAAGAATTTGTACCAGAAGATAGAAATTCTAGAGATATCTTACCTTTTTACAAATTCCTCCTTTCATGGAAACAGAAGCTAGATACACCAGTAAAACAACATGATCACCAAAATATAATGTTTACCCAGCTAGGGAAGTGTACCAGCTGATATAGTTAACAGCATACTAGGTCTGTCAAGTCATTAATGGTGAAGCAGACTGTATCTCCCGGATGGTAATTAAGGATTAAACCATAAGTGGATGCAAGCGCATTAACATCTTGGAGAAGCGCATTAACATCTTGGAGAAGCGCATTAACATCTTGGAGCAGCGCATGAATTAGGAGACATTCAAAAGCAATATGCGTTTTAGGTCACAGAAACAGGAATATCAATCACCTATTCTCTGAAAAGGCCACATTGCACTTGATTACCAGCTAACATTCCCAAAAGAGCTACACTGGAGTGAATAACTTGCTTTAACTGTCACCTAATAGTATGCTGGCCATTTTTTGCAAATCATTGAGTATGTCATCTATTGGTCCCTAAATGTCTTATGGAGATATTTCTACAAAGAAGAACATTGCATATTCTCCTTTTGCCACCTTGCAAAACAAAGTTTACTCCATAATATATGACATGTTACATCATACTGTTATTTACCAAGAAATGAACAGATGCCTGAATCCTACTTATTATTGTTTTTTCAGGGGAAGATCTCTTATACATGCCATATTCCAGCTGGTATTTCAAACTTAAGCGTCATCAAGGAAGTAGCTAAAATTAAGTACAATATTCTAAATGAAGATAAACTCAACCCAAAAGTCCTTTCCATTAGCTTTCCGTTCTTTGTTTTTAGGTGTGACAAAATGGCAATACAGTAAGCTTTATGTAAAAACCATAAACTGCGATAAATTTGTATGGTAGCAAATATGTTTCAAATAAAATGTTAACCATTAAAGGTGTCCATAAGCTGATAAAAAAGAATCTTTATACTAACATTTATGTCAAAATCAATTAGCTGTAAAGAACTTTTTACCTCCCATGTCCTAGACGAGCATGATGCCAATGCTCTTGCTGTCGAAGAACTGCAGCACCAGAAGACTTGTCTAACCTATTTCTCTCTGCATTCTTATAATTTCTATCTGCATTCTCTATAATAAAGGTTAAGAGAAAATACTGAAATTATCTGTACTCTTTTGACCTATTACAGTACTAGACACTAAAAGTACTTCATGTATAGGAATAAGAAAGCCATGTTCATATTAATGCTGTTGTATAAGTTGTCGCTGCATGATCAACTGTGCGACTTCATATTCACATTTCTTGTTAAGTGGCAAGGAACTTGGTATAGAGCAGGAATATAAACCATACATTTTTCACATGGCAAATGTAAAATTCAAGATTTAGAGGATTCATTACTGTTACTATAGAAGGCTATAAGTCTCAGAGCACATTGTTACATCCAGTATGTTTGGCAAGGAAAATGTCAGTGGAAGATGGTATACCAAGACTTTCCCTATAACTTTTTGACAGGAAACTAAAAACTTCACCATCCCATCAAGAGATGGAGAATGAGAATTAGAAAAGCAAAATAAAATCAGGTGTCAACATATATTATTCTCACACTGAATTAGCAACACAAATGTTAGAAAGTAAACACATGAATGCACAGTTGAGAACATGAATTTTAATTTTAGTCGGTTTCTCCATTAACTAAATTTCCGTACTGTACAAATGACTACAGCAGGCTAGAATGGGGTTCTCTACTCTCTCTCTCTCTCTCTCTCTGTCTTTGTATGTATATTTTGTTCTTCTTACAAAATCTGTCTTTTTGACTTACATAAGATTTAAGTTTTATCTTCTAGCTCGAATCTGTCTTGTTGGCTGCAGTGCCTTTGACATGATACGCAGCCTGTTTGTTATTTGTGTGAATGATGGCCTTGCAGCTGGATCTGGTGACCAACATTCTTCCATCAACTTTCTCCACTCAGGATCACAACGATCAGGGATGCTAGGCCTGAGAGTGTTATTTACAATCCCACCTAAAAAAAGAGTCAAGAAAACAAACCTTAAACTAAATTATGATATACTGCATTTTGAGGGATAATGAACAGAAAATGAACAGTAGAACATTATGTTTAGGACCAAGCTGCTAAGTGCAGAAATCAGAACAGGACTGCTCATCACTGATCATACACTTGATGATGCAATGAGGCAGTCAATGTGATTGAACAAATTCTCCCTTAAGCACCAGCTGATTATTAAACAGAAAATAATATATTATCAATTAACACTTACCACCTCAATGGAATCTTATAACTTTTGTCGTCTATAGAACATACAGTATCACTCTACTGAATGTTTCTAAATATGGTAAAACCATTATTCTTGCCTATTAAGAATTACTTCATAAAACTCAAGGGTTACTTATCCAAATGCAACCTTTTTTTTTATCAGAAATTACACAAATATTGTTTGTTCCCGAAACATAAGAAACTCAACTTTATTGTCCACAGATTTCCTGCTTCCCATCACTGCTTAGAAGTCAGACTTATATATCTTAGAACAGCTATTAAACCCAATAATGTTTTTATGATTTCCAAAATATTTGGGTAAATAACCCCAAATCCTTTATCCAACAAGCATTGAAAAATCTCTTGGTTATATACCAAAAAAGTACTAATAATAATAAATATTAAAAAAAATTGAAAAATCGTATAAGCTGGTCAAAATACAAACTTTTAAAGTAAACCTCAACAAGAACTTCTGCAAGCCAGATTAGGAGACTTAACTCATAACTGCATTAGATGAATCATTTTAAGAAATTACAGGAGCTAAAACCCCACAGCATTTGATTTTGTTGAAATAAAAGGAAAATAAAAAAGCAAGGCCTATGTTGATTGATGAGATACTGTACATGTTACGAACTTCAATATCAACCTTCAAATTGATTCCATTCAGGTAGCTGCACATGAACCATCTGAGTTGCATTTTAGTTTCTCTTTCAAGTTCTATCCGCTTTCTGACAATGCATCAGAAACATATAACCAGTAGCCAAGAGTGAAAAGTAAGTTTAACTTTCCAGTTTTTTTGAAGAGTTTAGTTGGAGAACCTAGTTGCCCTCATTTGTTTCTTGTACAGAAGCTACTAAGGAACGTCTTAACTGTCTTCAAATATGCATATAATGGTGTCCCAATGAAATGCAGAATTTCACAGCTGAGGTGCCTTTTCTTCGTTGTTTCTTCTTCTGCTTGTGCTCTTTCTCCAGACAACAGATGAACAAAGAAATTTTAATACAGAATTCCTGTACTCCAGTTCTAAACTAGCTTCAATAAAAGAAGTTAAGACTCAATCAAGCACATAGTATACATGAGGAGATCCTTAGATGCTTTTGCAAAACCAAGTTGCAGCTCTGTGGTCGCAGTTCCGAGCATAGTTATTTATGTAATAATTATGATGAAATGGCATTTCATCATAAAAGCCTACCGCTTAATATAATCATAGGAAGCATTAAATCTCAAAGTTGATTAAACATATGGTGAATTTTTGTCCAAGCATAATTGTTACTTCAAGTATTAAAGTTCCAAAACAAATATTATGGAGCCTATATCAGGAAGAAGATATTTCTTTTATAGATCCATTGCCAAAGTAACCACAAATCTTACCTATGATGGCGCCACAGTGCAAGTTGGCATAGGGCTCCTCTCCTGTTTGGATCTCCCACATTGTGATGCCAAATGAGAATACATCGACCTGTCAAAACCCATAGAAGGTGAATATGAGACTGAATGGACAATGTGTAAGGTTTGTATTCCAGTCTTCCTGATTATTTGCTCTCCAAAATCAGAAACTCTGGGAATAGAGAACTAACTTTTTCAGAAACTCGATTACTACTTCCATGCAATAGCTCTGGAGCCATCCAGGGAAGTGTTCCTCGCACACCACCCGAAACAAGTGTATTTCGCTTAATTCTTGACAGTCCAAAATCACCAACCTGAAAACCATGGCAATCATTTTCATATTTGAGGTACCAATCAATTCATTGAATAAAACCATGTTGGAATCATGTCTGACTGAATAAAGCATCTTGAACAAGGACCTTTCAGTTTACTAAAGAAGGCCTAATACTTGAGTCATTAAGACTTACAAGTGAATTTCAAAACAAACCCAAATGGATGTATCCAATTGAAATTTAAACCAATTTTCTGGATTACTTGGTTCCGCATTGAGTTCATTAGCATAAGTACCTTGCACACTGGCCTTTGAGGATCTCCCAAGTTAACTAGCAAGTTGTCACATTTTAAATCAAAATGAACTATATTCTTCAAATGCAGATACTCCATGCCAAAAGCAGTATCAAGTGCAATCATAAGCTTTTTACGCCGATCAAGTGCTCTGAAAACAAAGTACCAAGTTCAGGAATCAGTTTTTTCTTCGATCTTCATTGAATGGATAAAGAAAGAACTTGAATTACCCCTTCCTTAAGAGTGCATGTTTTAACGACCCATCAACCATATATTCAGTTACCGTTGCCAATGTTCCCCCAGGTCCATCAGGAACGACCCCATAGAATGCCACAATATTGGGATGGTGTAGCTTAGAGAGGATCTGAGCCTCTCTCCAAAACTCTTTAGTCTGCAAGCATAGAAAAGGTCCTGTTTTATATCTTGAAGTTACATCGAGCATGAAATATCATCAACCTAAAATGGATATTCATTTCCTTTTCTCTTTTGAAGGAAATTTAATAACTTCAAATTACTTCAGGTGTAAAATTGTATGCGGGACAGATTATTTCTTCATCATAGTAGAGAGAAAAGAACCCACCAATCGCTCTTGCTCTGAATTTCTCCCAGCAAAACAGCTCTTTTTAATTCTCTTGATAGCAACATCTGTTCCCCTCCACTTTCCATGGTAAACAGTTCCAAATGTACCAGATCCTAACTCTTGCAGTTCTTCAAGATCAGCATATTTTATTATCTGCAAATAGTTTATGAACAAATTGATCAAAGTCAAATAAAATTATCACTAAATGTGAAGAGAAAAAGCTCATTATGAGCATTCAAATATTATCTCAGCCATTCATTTTGTTCTTTTACAAGAAATATAAATATAAAAGAGAAATAGTAATTCAACCATTTTATCTAGTTAGTATGGACAAAAAATTCATATTTTCTAGTCTTCACGGTATACATCTCAAATGTTTAGAAAGCAATACTACAATCTAGTCTCTCTACAGCATGATTTATCCAAATGTCCAAAGTTCTTCAAGCAACAATCCAAGAATGTCAGCATACATGGCAAAGGAAAAGCTAAAACAGCATCTAAGATAGTTTGCATGCCTATGTTAGATCCTGATCATTGAAAGTTTTCACAATCATATTCCTACAGCAGCCCTACTAAATGAGGATCCTAATATAATGTTATAATTATGATAAACTTCTGGAGTAGCAACATTAGAGGTAAAAACAATTATATATTGAGGCAATGGAACATGAGTCACCATCAAGGTATGATGTGCTCGCTAATTAATAGTTTTCTAGATTGAATCCAGTTCACTGTCAAGTTATGAAGCCCTGCCTTCTCTTTCTCTCTCTTAATCCCCGTTTCTTTGCAATATCTCATATTTTTTGCATAAACCAAATGGTTTATTAGCTTGGTTATCATGGGACAATCAGAAGACAGGAAAATTGTGACAGCCCTGCTCGGCAACTTCTTTACTGACCTCTGGCTTATTTTGACTTTAAGTTTCGACATTTTATAACAACTCAGTGTATAAGAGTTTCTATGAAAAAGCTTTTGACAATTAACTAATACAAAGTTACATTTGATGCTTAGGTTCAACATATTTCATTATCTGTATAGATTTTTCAAACTCAAAAATCTGAACAAACCATCTTTCGGGATCTAATATTTCATTTTTGGTCTTACTAAGTTTGAAAACTAAGAATATAAGATGGTATATCATGCATAAAATGATAAACAGATAGCTTTTTCCTGGCAAATGTAACACTGACTTCATCAAGTATGATATCAACACTAAGAGATTTACATTAGTAGTTAATATATCAGATGGCCAAACCCATTGCAGATTATTGCTGTAACTCTGGACATAATTAGCCTTATCTAGCGAGTAAAAAGGCTAGATTTTCCGCCGAACTTATGAACTCCAGCAAGGTAACAATATATGAACCACAACTTTGCACCAAGTTTTCATCCATATGTAGTATCATAATTTATGTGAATGAGGGACATTTCTTTCTCTAAGCTCAAAAAATTATGGCAATTCAGGAAATGCATAGACAAGAAGAGAAGGCACTTCTAAGTACCCTTAGAACACTTTCACTTGTAACTCAGAAGTAACTAAATATTTTAAACCTGTAAGCCATAGATTCCAGCTTCAATTTCAATCAAAGCAGCATCACCAAGGGGGTCAACATTACCATCATGATCAACATTCCCTTCCTACAGATTGCACATTGATTTGTCAGATTTCAGAACATGAGTAAATAATGATTCAGTAAGGGCAAAAAGAGAAAAAAATAACACCTCGTGGTCAGACTCTATGGCAACAGATTCAGTCTCTGTCCCATCACTTGGCTCATCTTGCACTAGTGGGATAACCACCAGGGAGGACGGAATATCTGGCGGAATGCTATCAGTTACATCCTCTACAACAACAGTTGATTCTGGTCGAATACCATCATGCTGATCAGTTGAAGGATGAGAGACAGACATCTGATCTGGAAAACAGGATGTCTCAGAAGAATCTTCCTTCAGACTCTCCTTTTTCACGCTCTTATGAGGACCTTTCACCATTTCGAATTCAGGATCATGCACAGATTCCTTGTGGACGGTATCCAACCCAACTTGTTTAGCACTATCAGCTGGATTAGGAAATGAAAGATCATTACTAAGAGGATAATTCAAGTCCAAGAGCAGGCAGGATTCATCCACTGGTCTGTCCATTCCCTGATGTGTAGATGATTTTAGTCCACAAGAGTTGTTAATGGCATCCCTGCTAAATGCTTTAGCCCTAGTCTCACTCTCTTTTTGGCTTCTGATGAGATACTCAGATTCATTAGGTCCTGATTGATGACCTCGTGGTTGGGAGTTCTCGGATGTCAATGAATGCGATGTGGAGTTTCTGCTTGTGTTGCCTTCCGGCTCTACTGGCAACGGACAGTCAATGAGCATTTGATCAACAGGTCTTACAATTTCATGAAGATTAATGTTATCTTCTACCGGAGTGGAATTAGATGTATTTCTATCAGTAAACATATTATGTGTCCTATCTTGGTTAAAATTTGTGCCTTCATTCTCTGTCCACATGAATTCCTTGTTCAAATCTGGTGTTGACAGATTCTCATCCCTAGCATTTTGGTATTTCTCTGAGCTCTCCAGTTGTTGAACCAGCCATTTTTGTGACGAATCACCATATGAAGGTGATTTTTCTACTACATAATTTGATGGGAATGGGTTCCTTTCTTCAACTGTGACTTTAACTTCCTCTTTTTGTCGCAACTGTGGTTGAGATACTGCATGAACCATTCTGTTGTGAGTTTTAAATGAAGTACCAATACCAGGAAACACACCAGCTGTGTCTTGAGGGAAAGATAAATTTTCAGACTGCATTGCAATCTCATTTACCATATGCCTTTCTTTGTCCATTTGAAGTTGACCACAAGATGGTGAAGCCACAACACTCTTACCAGTGCTATGAATATGGGGATCCAGTTCAGGAATCTGGTTGGAGTCCATACAGTGGCTGACAGGGTGAAAGTAATTTCTCAATTGGACTGCTTCTGGTGGTTGATGATGATAGTAGCTTGTGTTGTTGAAATATTGATACTTGTCATATGATGGTTGCTCGGCAGCATTTGGACTGTTAAATTCATAAGCATTAGACCGTGTCATATCCTCATACAACTTTGTGTAGCAACTCCTAGGATCATTGATTTGAACAGGCACCGGAGACACAGAAGAAGAAAGAATTGACTTAGAAGGGTACTGTGGGGTATTAAAAACCTGAACTTTGGAGCTTGGATTACTCATTCTATTCAAGGAACTGCCCCCATCTGGTACCTCCAATGGATGAAAGGAAATCGGAGAGTCTCTTTGAACAGGACTACTATCCAAGGCATTCCCCATCTGGCTTCCTAGACTCTCCCTGCTAGAGCTCCTCCAAGGACTTGGGTCCAGCATGCCATTAACTGCAACAACATATTGGTAGTCAGCATCACCCTGTGGTCCAGTCCTTGCTTCAAAAGAACATGGGCTTTCAGGATCATTCGAAGAAATAAGGAATATCCGCAACCTCTGAGAAGTTCTTTCCAAATCATGATATTCCTCTATCATATGATGGAGATCTTCATCAGAAGAGACAGATATAAGTGCATCAAGGTCCTCTCCTGGGAGCTGATATTTTATTGTGTGAGGCTGATTACAGATTGCAGCTGTCTTCCTGACAAGTTCGCTGTAAGTTAAATTTTTCCTAATTGACATAATTCTCGTCTCCCCGCCGACATATCTAAGCTTCCCATCTTTTGGCCTTGGCAAAATTCTTCCTCCAAAGCTGCAGAGAAACTTCATCTTTCCAGGAAAAGAACCATCTGTGTATCCCAAGCCAGAGTTGTGAGGCTGGTATGCATATGGGGAATCTGAAGGATATATAGATAGACCAGAAAGAGTTCTATCGATATTACTTCCATCAGATAATCTTCCTTGTTGCTGTCCATCGGTGGTAGTATACTCCATACGATATCTGTTTGCACCACCAAAGCTTTCCCGGTTCTCAGCATCTAATGCATATCCTCCTCCCTGAGGAGAAAACTCAGATAGCTCTGTACCACTTTCAGAGTCTTTTCTCTGTAGGCCAAGAAGGCCAGTAAGATCCTCATACACAAGAGGGCGACTCTGAGCAATATTTATGCCCATTCTATTCTGCTGTTGCTGAAATGCATCAATTATTACTGGTCTTCTAGGTGTAAGACGTTCCCTAAGGAATTCTTCAGAAAATTCCTCACCCGTCTGCAAAGAAACATTAAGTCCACTATTATGTCTACAGTTTTCATCACTTGGAACAACATTAATTGGCTGAACATTGAACAGCTGGCCCGAAGTAACAGGAGTTTCACCCCTCATGATTCCAGAAGCAACCCAAGATCCTTAAAACCTATACAAACACAAAAACCCCCCGACAAGATCTTCACAAAATCTTGGGAATCAACTCTTTCTAAACCTCAAGTATGCACAAACTAAATCCGGAAGATTCTGCAACTTGCTCCCTCTCCCAGCTACCCACAAATGCTTAGCATATGCATCCAGAATCTCCTCTAATTGGCCCAAACTACACCAATAAGCCAGACTAAATCGATGTACAGTTATCCATTATTTTCTCAGATTGACGAACTTCCCTTAAAAAATTCCTGTTGCTGTCCACTCAAATCAGGAATTCAACTGTATCAACCTACCAAAAGAGCAAGAAAACGAAAACGGAAGCAATCAATCATGAGGGCATTATTTAATAAAGGCATAAGCTGAAAAAACGCTAACACATTTTATGATCAATGATCCCAAAGTGAATGCATCCTATTCTTTTCCCTGTACACAATTACAATTCTTGTTTTCATCATTACGTAAGAAATGATCATGAATTTCAAGGTTTCTTGATAAAATTAGAATAAAATGAATAAAACCAAATTATTTCTAGCAAGCTCATTGAACAATGACATACCTGTTTGTAATTTGTGTTGTGATCAAAATTTTATGATAATTTCAGGGTGACATTTGGGATGATGACGGCGAAATTAAGGTTAAAGGGTTCCAAGAAAGGAACAAAAATTGAAGAAATGGCGTTTTGATTTTATTTAATTTTTTTGAGGTAGGGAAGAAGAGAGAGAGAGAGAGAGAGAGAGAGAGAGACAGAGAAAGAGACAGAGGGCGTTGCATGGGTCTCGGCGTTTTCAAAGAGGGGGAGGAGTGTGAGAGCACTGTGTTATTATCGGTTAGCACTTACGTTAACGCGGCAACATCCCAGCGTGTGGTGGGGTCCTTTTAACTGTTTAACTAATTTTTCAACATTCCTAGACCTACCATGTACTACTATGTTAGTCTTGAATCTTTGCGCACTTGCCACCACTAGATGCCGACTTATTTACAAAAAGTTGTATGTTAAAATTTTGCCGTCGTCGACGTGAGAGCCATGTTAGTAAGATCCTGTCTTCGAATTTCATTATCGAACTAAGAATAGAATTGCGTCGGTGAGAAATACATAAAAACTCTCGTAAACTTGTATAGTTTTGGAGGCATAATTTGATATGTGGTGATGATCGGAGCCGATCCCATCTAAATTTCGTTAACTCGAATCTTTACGCACTCCATTTCTCATCAAGGTTTTCTTTTTCTAGAAAATATTTGCATGTTTAAGGCAAAAGTATTGCATAATTTGAAGAAATTACGGGGAACTATATTGTTCATCTTTGGTGAAAAATAGAATATACCATCAAAAATTACTACGATATTCTTGTACAAGAAGATGCTATTTGTACAAAATGGTATCTTTTGTAATGGATGTGACATGTAAGTTAAATTTAAATTAAGTTGAAAATATTTTCATCGCTCAATACTTAATCAATTAAAAGCGGAGGGTAATCAATTTCCATCCTCACATTTCACAGTAGTGTATTTTCCCTCAAATACGAATATCCATCCTTCCTGTTTCATTAACTAAGATTTTCACTTTCTGTCAACAGTCAAGTGGCTATGAAAAGACTCCCAAATCCTCTCTTTTCCTCCCTTTCTCTTGCACAGCTTGAAGTTTTCGTCGAAGAAAAAAAAATTTCTCCTTTATCGCAAGAAATGATGGTCTATGGCTGCGTTTCCTTATTTCCTACTGCACGTATCAAAATTGAACCTAGGACCTTTATACTCACAAGAAATCATTTTTGGGACTTCATCTCCTTTGTAATCAGCCCACATTCCTGCTGGCTTTCCAAATCGAATTTTAGCAGGTCAAAGCGAGGACTTACAGTTTCAGGTAGCGCCCAAGGCAAAACATCCCTCCTCGACCAACAAAAAGTCCTACTTAAACTCTGTTTCCTGCTCTTCTTTTCCTAGTCACGGATGGCCGAAATGAAGATGCTACCCGGTGAATCTACTAAATTGCACTTGGAGATCTTCAAAGATGACATATTCTACAGAAAACTGCACTGGGTTCATTTAACTCTCATAGGAATTGACACGTTTTGTATAGGTATCTTGGGACTTCAAGAACCTGTACTGTCGCAGATTTGTGTACCTAAGCAATCAAAGGAATTGAGGCCCCTTGTGCCAAATAAACAGGCACGCATATACGCAAAGGGGATGGGGAAAAAGCAGTGTATCTCAGCAACAGAAATATCAAACAAATCAAGTCCCAAACCCAAAGACAACATTGCGCACGTCTGCTGAGTGTGTTTCCATTATTTTCGATTTTTTCTCAAGTACGAGAAAAGGAAATCCTTATAGATAGCAAATACCATGAAAACACTACGTATCATGTAAAATTACAGCACATGAAATAGAGCCCATATTTGACTACTGCAAGAGCTTTCCTCCGAATAACATCATCAAGCATGGAAGAAAGTTGGCTCAAGAATCAATGATTGTGCACAGAATCCACACCCTTCGATCCTCTACCCCGTCTACCGGTATGAATCTGGCCGCTTTGGTTTAGTCTGAACTACAGCCTCGATCTTCTCCATCACAAGGGGTGTCAGCTTTGGAATGACATCTATAGCTTTCATGTTCTCTTTAATCTGAAATTCAGAAGTTTTTGTTTTCAAGCAGTGCATATGCAATATTGATTAAATATCCAGTGAGAAAAGCATAATTATTTGACGAACAGCTTCAAAATAGTAGGATGTTGTCAAACCAGAGTACCGTATAGATTTGGCCAAAAAATGCTATTGATACATTAAAAAACTTGGTTACTATTAAATATACAAGATCTAAATAGCAGTAGTCTGAGACATGCATTTTGCTAAATCAGAACCTTACATCAATGGGCAGAGGTATCAAATTTGGTATGATAAGTAGAATCACGATTGCCACTATAAAGCAGAAAGGCAAATTCAACTGTGAAAAGCAAAGACAGAGATGCGCGCGCGCACAAAAAAACAAAGGAGCAGAGTAAATTCTCAAAATTTTTTGATTTGGCAGGACATGCAAGACTTGATTCTGCAACATATACATTAATCAACATAACACTTGTTGCTTGCAAAGAACCACTTCCAGCAGGAGAAGAAAACAAATAAATCATCTCCCATGATTGCAGTCTCAAAAAGATTATCCATATCTGCGTTGAGCAGATCAGATGAAACAAAGACTAACACATCATAAACGACTGTGTGAATTCAAAAATTCCAGCGAATTTCTGCCCTGGCTTTTATTATTTTATTGTGCTTCATTTTAATATTTTTGAAGCTTCTTTCCAATATAAGATATAATGTAAACCAAGTTCATTTACTTATTCCAGCGTTATTAAGATCATTACTAAGATTGGCAGGGAGAGGATAAGTGGTAAAATTCTAATACGATAGCATACAAATTAATCAACTCTATGGAAAAGCACATGGAATTAGTCAAAGAATTAATCCATTCTTATGAAAGAAGTCTAAACAGCATACAACTTAGAGGCTTGCATATCTCTGAAAAGCCAAAAACTTTAAAGCAGATAAAAAATTTAAAAGAAACGTAAGAAATCAGCAAGGCACAACTTTCCTAGAATAGAAAGCAGAGGAATAAGCCACCTTAAATCAAACTGACCTGAGATTCTTTGGTCGCACCAGTAATAACCGATGAGACATTAGGATTTGCAGCACACCAAGCAATTGCAAGTTGAGGCAAAGAAACATCCAACTCCTTAGCAATGGGTTTCAGTCCATCAACCTTCCTCAAGACGTCTTCTACCAATGATCTGCTTGCAAGATTCTACAAAGCATGCATCAAACATTAGTTTATTGATAGGACAGGGACCAATGGGCAATATTAATAGCCAAGCAGGCACAATGTACCAAGATAGAACTAAGACTGTACAAAGATGTATGTCAAGCAACGAGAGATGCAGCCACAAAGCTTCAGCAAAAATAGAATTGACTGTTCAAAGTGCAGTATTAATAGCCAAACAGGCACAATGTACCAAGATAGAACTAAAACTGTACAAAGATGTATGTCAAGCAACGAGAGATGCAGCCACAAAGCTTCAGTAAAAATAGAATTAACCAAGTATATAAACACCCCAACTACCCTCAGCCCCTATTCAGAACAAGTATCAAAATATTTTAATCACAACAGTTAAAAGAGCTACTCTAATATCATCCAATCATGCATCAATTTAACGAAAAAGCAGCGACAGTTTGCGAACAAAGAGGATGAGCATATCCCACAAATTTCACACAATGCCATTCATTGATTTGAAAAAATTTTTGGAACGAACTTCTTGATGACATCAATATCAGTCAAAACAGTTAAACAGACTACGAACTATAACCAATCTCCTTATCAAGGGAGAAAGAAAGCAAATTTTCTAGTACTTCCTCTTTGACAAATTCTAAATGTCATTCAAAGAAGGGCAAAAAATTGAACTACAAGCCATGCAGATTCAGAAGGTATAGAAAATCAATGTAACAATTGCCAAGCAGTATGATGTTGAAATTACCATGAGAGGCATACAGTAAATTCAAGAAAATCAGAAACTTTACCCAAAAAACAAAAAAGTGACGCAAATAAAATATGAAATGAGGAGACAGAAAAACCAGATTTCAAAAGAAAATCTCGTCATTCAGCAGGATTTTAACTTAATTTATTATGTTGTTTGAAGTATGTTGGTGCTTAAAGTAGTAAGTTATTTGTCCATAGGAGTTGCAGGTGGGCTGCTGCAGTAATCATTTATTTAGTAGCGATATGATGTCATTGACCAACACTGTTCTAAAAGCAGCCATATAATTACTTATCTTGAGCAGCAATACACTTGTAGATTGATTAAATCTTGGTCTCTAAGAATAGTTGTCACATAAAATAAAATGTATAGCTGTCTTGTATCACCAATGTGGCTTAAGATATCTCCCCTCAATTATTCTAATTTCCTACACTTTTTCCTGTCCGTCAAGTCCATATCTAGAACAGACAACTATCCCAATCCCTCCAAGTAGTCACTGTTTTCACACCAAATCAGCAGCTTTAAGTCTCGTAGTACTACTCCACGATCATAGTGGCTTCCTAGTCATAAACTTAATTTCGCAAACTGATGATTAACATAGACTCAGTGCTGACAAGTAGAGGTCCTGCAACAAGCTGATTATGTCCAAAGTAGTAGTTTTCACCAGATTTACTTATAAGTGTCATGTCTCCAACACCTACCCACCCCCCCCCCCCCAAAAAACCCCAAAAAAAAAAAAAGCAAAGAGAAGCCCTTAGGCTGAAGCACTCAAGGCCTGTCATCAGTATTCAGTAGATTGTATGATGGATAAAACCACAACTCTGACACCCATCAACAAACCCCCCCCCCCCCACCCCCACAAAAAAAAAAGAACAAAACCCCAAAGAGAAGCCTCTTGGCTAAATCACTCAAGCCTGTTGTCGATAGATTGTATGCTGACTGACACCACAACTGAAATTCTCAGAGGAGGCTGAGTAGAGCAACTATGACTAGACTAGGACGTAGATGAATTTTGTGGAATTTGTATTAAAGATTTACAGTAGCCTGTGTACCAACTCCGTGACCATTTTACCTTGTAATTATCCAGTGCAAACCGAGTGTCAGATGGAGGAGGAGAACCCAATGAGTACTTTCCGCTCAGAACACCAGACGCAAGTGGACTCCATGTGGTAAGACCAATACCATAGTTACTATAGAGAGGGAGATACTCC